AATATGATTCCCAGTTGGAAGAAGGTAGGAAAATTTTTGAAATTCGCCCACCCATTCCGCAACCTTCATGGCGTCCATTAGATGGATCCTACCATTCTTTCAGTGGTATTAGAGCCACAGGTTCGAATCTTGAACCAAAAGAAAATCAAATCTGAACCTGCGCAGATGGACAGAAGATGTTCTGCCAAGATTTGCGCAGATTGTTTTCTTTATTTCAAGAAACAGTTTCTTGTTAAGGGCGATTTATCTGAAATTAATTTTGTTAAATCCAAAATTTATTTAGAACTGTTCTTTATTTATTTTGATTTAATTGACTGTTCAAACCTGGAGATCGCAGTACAGATTTGGCGCAGATGGTCTGCGCACCCTTTATTCTTTTTTCTATTCAATTCGGTCTGTAAATAATTTTTTTTTTATTTTCTAGGCTGAATGTATAGGATTTGATCAAGAATGTAATTAATTAATAGAAATAGGATTTCTGTTTTTTTATTTTCTTGATTAAAGAAGAAGGAAGAAGAAGGCGGCGCTGGAGATTTGTAGATGGAGAAATCGCTTTCTACGATTTGCAGTTTGTGAAACTGCAACCCTAGTGATTAACCTCTATTTTGCAGGTGGTGCGAACAGTCCATATTTGATTTGTGATTGTTTAAAATCGAAATTACTAATTTCAAATCTTTCATGAATTAACTCTTAATTGAAAATCAGTTTCGGACAATTTCGGACTAGGTTGGACCAAAACTGTTTGGACCGAATCTAGGGTTCGAAGGGGACTGTTTTCAGTCCATTTTTCTCCTTCTTGTAGTTCCAAATCTGATGTTCAATTACAGGGATTAATTCGGCCCACCTGTAAAGCCCAGTTTTAAAAGGTTAAAACTGYAAAAGCCCACCCTTGTGAGAAAMGYTGTATGGGCCGAATTGCTATCTACGATTCAGCCCATACACCTAGTAGACATTAATTGTTAATGGGCTATTTATTGGGCTTTACAGCAGTTAATTGATTGGATCAATTCTTCCTTTACATATTATGTTTGGATGTTGGATGTGCTGCGACCATGGGCCATAAGCATTTGGCCCATGATAATTCGTTAGTGGCTCTTGCGCACACCATGGCTGAATGCACATCATTGCCATGGTGTCCCTTAAGGTCATTGGATGACCCCTCTTTTCTTGGTGGGCCCCCACAACCCTGAAAAGGGATGCGTACGGAAACCCTAGCCGCTTAAGGCCTACCAGAAATTTGACTTTATGAAAGTCAGTGGGAGCCACTCTGGTTTGACCTAAATTAGAACTAGGGCGTAATTTTGTTCCCTCCAGCAAATATGA